TTACGGCATGTATTTTCTTGATTTTTACTACATATATCGATTGGTTTTATTAAAAAAAGTCTCGAAAACGAAAAGTTTTGAAAACGTAAAAATAAGCTGACGGGTTAAGAAAGGCATTCAATACTCAAGATATAGGAAATAAAATTTACACATTCAAAAACGTGTTTCTCAATGTTTTACTTTTCTTTTACATGTGAAACGTGAAGTGTCTTCCTGAGATCTTATCAGTGGGACACAAATAGGGAATAAAAATTACGAGTCCTATAGATCTAATTATAACAACTATAACATACGGATTCCCCAAGCTGTCATAAAAAAGTAGGATTTTATGAGAAAAAGTAGGAAAAAGTAGGAAAATCAAGCAATTTTTAATATTTTTAATAAAAAATAGGAAAAGTAGGAAGTTGAAGAAAAGTAGGAAAAAGTAGGAAAAGTAGGATGACAAGAAAGCCTGAAATTCAAATTAAAACCAATTCCAAATTGCAAATTCAATACTCAAGATATAGGAAATAAAATTTACACATTTAAAAACGTGCTTCTCAATGTTTTACTTTTCTTTTACATGTGAAACGTGAAGCGTCTGTGTTTCTTCACGTCTGTTGATCCAAATCGCCCACGAAAAGATCACAAATAACTTAAACACGTACTATCTAACATGCATGAACTGAATTACCACCGTTGGAAGCAGCCCTTCGATCAAAACTAGTCAATGTACAAAGTTTGGTCACATTGAATAAATCAAATATGAATAGTAACCTTTTGAAAATTAATAATTTAATACCAATTACTATGGATTGTGAGAACAGGGTGTGGTAAATTACGTGGTCTGTTGACCCATGCAAACTAACAAAATTTGCACTTTGCTAACAAAATTTGCACTTTGCTAAGTGGACAAAAGTGCCAAAATTTTGAACCAGTGTGCCTATCATAAGTTACCTCTACAGGCAAGCAAATAAAACTTGACATAGAAAACTTGAAATAAAAAACGTGACATAAAAAACTTGACATAGAAAACTTGATATAGAAAACTTGACATAGAAAACTTGAAATAAAAAACTTGAAATAAAAAACTTGACATAGAACCCTAGACATAGAACCCTAGACATAGAAAACTTGACATAGAAAACTTGAAATAGAAAACTTGACATAGAACCCTAGACATAGAACCCTAGACATAGAAAACTTGACATATAAAACGAGACATAGAAAACTTGACATAGAAAACTTGACATAGAAAACTTGACATAGAACCCTAGACATAGAAAACCTAACATAGAAAACTTGACATAGAAAACTTGACATAAAAAACTTGACATAGAAAACTTGACATAGAACCCTAGACATAGAAAACCTAACATAGAAAACTTGACATAGAAAACTTGACATAAAAAACTTGACATAGAAAACTTGACATAGAAAACTTGACATAGAACCCTAAACATAGAAAACCTAACATAGAAAACTTGACATAGAAAACTTGAAATAGAAAACTTGACATAGAACCCTAGACATAGAACCCTAGACATAGAAATCTTGACATACCTGTAGAAAACTTGACATAGAAAACTTGACATAGAAAACTTGACATAGAAAACTTGACATAGAAAACTTGACATAGAAAACTTGACATAGAAAACTTGACATGGAAAACTTGACATAGAAAACTTGACATAGAAAACTTGACATAGAAAACTTGAAATAGAAAATTTGATCATCTTTTCTGAAGGGGTGTGGGGAGTGCACACCTGTAGTCTTGGCAAAGGGGGGTGCAATGGGTGCCACCCACCCCAGAACACTGGAGCCTGTAGCTCCCTCTAGCGACTATGCACTTGGTCAACAGTCACACCCCAAACCATGACCAAGGATCAATGAACATCCTGCCTACCAGAACTGGATTGAAATTCCTGCATTGAAAAAGTTGTGAGTATTATTGTATGTTACCTTTCCTTAGTCTCAGTTTTAATGTGTCTGGAGAGAGTTTGAGAGATTCCACAACTAGAAAAATAAATTGGCTTTAATTTAATTAATTGGCCCATGCTTACACTGCAAAACTTTAATTTTCCTCTACACATGATGTTGAGTGTACAGATATACTATGTTCACAGAAGACCAGACAAATGCAGAAGCGCAGGCATCAGTAAAATGTGCAAGCATGCGACCACCCTTGCAGGCACCTTTTGAATTTGTGCAGGCACTTTTTAAAATTCTGACATTCAAACTAATTGAAATTCCAATAGAAATTTAAATTTCCTATTGTGATCCATTGAACTTCCAACAGAAAAACTCCTTCCAATTGGAAATTGGCTCAAATTCCAGTTGGAATGGACCATTTGCATTATAGACTAAATTTTGATCTAAACAAGTCTAGACAAATATCATCACAGCTTGAAAGGAGATCAGGAGACAACAAAACAAAAATGGGAAGTGTCAAATTTAAAACCAAATGAGCCAATGAGGTGCATATCTCATTTTCACGTCACCTTAGACGTCACGTCGTGTTTTTTAAATCTGCCTGATAGTATTAACCCTTTATTACCCATTAAGTTATGTACATTGCACCCTAATGCACCCAACCTTATTATTTTACTCTGTCTAACACCAAATGATTTTACTTGTGAAGAGGAGAGTGCTGGCACTCAATGAGTTAATCAGACTACAGTGTATCTGCCCACGTGTCTATTTTATTCTGTCTAACGTCAGACAATTTTACTTGTCAAGGGAAGGGCACGCCAGCTCAATGGGTTAAGTGGCAATGCATGCTGAATCCCTGATACACCCTCATTTATTATTTTACTCTGCTCAATGTCAGACAATTTTCCTAGTCAAGGCTAGAGTGCTAACACTCAATGGATTAATGAGCTCTGCAGAAGCACACAAAAATGTGTCTGCATCCATTTGTTCACTCTTGTCAAAAAGGCCTTGGTTATGGACTTATGGCATTGTACATATGTAACAGACAACCCTTATAGTGTAAGCATGTGTGTAGTATTGTACCTTTCTTGGCAGGCAGTCTGCTAACACATTCATCATTGACTTCAACCAACACATCACCAACATGAATCTAGATTTGGAAAATATGATCTGTAATCAACATGACAAATTAACCCTTTAAGTGAATAAATAAAGTGTCAAATAACAATGTACCCTGGTGCGCCCTACTTTATCGTTTTACTCTGTTTAATGCCAGACAGTTTTACTTGTCAAGGGAAGAGTGCTTTCACTCATTTGAATGCCAGCACTTTCCCATGGTGTTAGACAGAGTAAAATAGCAAAGTAGGGGCGTGTTTGGGTCCATTGCAATTCACATGATCAAGTCACACAATATTAGGTTAAAACGAGTGTTTTCTGCCACTTCTGATTTTGCAAAAGGCAAACTTGCTTTGCAGAAGGAATCCCCTGGGAAGATAATGAAATTGACATATTTAAATTTTAATAATTATATTTGGCACCTCAGATATAGCGACTTACTTATTGTGACTAATATGACAGCCACAAAATAAGAATTTTTCATTTTATGGATGGAATATCTAACTTCTTGGTGACTTATTAAATTCACATTATTCAGGCTTAGTAGGACATGTACACTGTGCAGGGGCATGGCGAAGAGGCTAAAGAAGGAGGGTGGGGGTTGTACGTAGTATTGCATTTGCCGACAACATTTCAGTCGCAAATTAATATTTTTCCCAAAGCTGGGGGGTCGAACATTTTTCCGAACATACTATTTTTCACAAACTTTCCCATTAATGTTGGAATTTGTTAACTTTTTCTGTAATTTTCGTAAATTTAGCAAAATTTTTGCCATAACTATTACTTTTTATCTGAGCCACTCAATTATTTTTGCTGACTATGAAAACAATTTGCCAATAAATCTGAAAACAATTTGCCAACTTCAAGTAAAACAGACATTTCAGGAGTAGTGATTGACCTATAATCGGGCTGATATTTGCCTTATTGTTTGACAATGGGAAACAGTAGAATATCTACAATATATTTCCGATTGTCTATAAAAACGATTCTTGAGAAAACACCCACTTTAAAATTTATATGCATTGCACGTTGATACACATTGCGTTTTAATGCAATACGTTAAATTAATGTGTGAAGCGACGTTATCTTTACCCAGTGGACTGATACTATGACGTCATTATAAATTCGGCGTCGGTATCTGCAAGATTGTGCCATTGTGGCATGAATAATCGGTAATTTCTGATTGTTGCACAATCTGTCAATCACTATTGCCAAGTCTGTGATGAGTGAATGAACCCCTCCACACCCCCCTTTGACACTGTGACACACTTATTCTATTATTATAAGATAACTCAGGTGTATTATGCTTTAATTCATTCCAAAATACTATCCCCATAGACAAACTCTGATGTTTATGAGACAAACACTACACACTATAATATAAACCAGACATTATTTGCCACTTGAATTTTTTTCTTCAATGTTGATATATCGTTTTTTTCAATATCACATCAGCCTAATGCAGAGCTTATCTTGGTATACAATTTTTCATTTCAGTGTTAGCATTGTTCACTGTAGGAGCAAGTGGTAAGCATGCAATCACACCCATATAACATAATTATCATATTAAATAATGACTATTCAATAGTGATCGAATAAAACTTAAGCTAAAGTTAGCAATATAGCAAGCAATAAACAATTCTGTACAATGCATACCAATGAAGCCACAACATACGCAATTTATACAATCTGTTTTCTTTTGTACTGATAAAAAATGTAAACAATTAGAATTGATAGTTATAGTTGTACAGTACAGTACAGTACAGTACATTAATTTAAACAACAATGCTAATCGACATGATTAATTGACTGTCTTTAGTTAGAAAAAGTATCTGATGTCAGTCAAATGTCACAACTCGGGACTCTTTATAAGCTTAAAATACTCATTAAAAATTCATAAACCTTGTCAGCCATAATATGTCATGTGATAAAACACTAAAACATGAATATAATAAAACACAATAAATGTGATAAAACACTCCTTCTTGTGTTTTAAATAGTACATAACTTAGGCAAGACTTTTTTATTCATTGGTTTACGGATCTGCCGACCGTAAATATTCAGAACACAATTTTAGTTAATTTTAGTTAATTTGGGGTTCTGACATGAAGTACATGCCAACTAAACTTTGACTCTAAATACTACTAGTTCATGTTATCGCTGTGACAATCTTGAAAAACAATGTTTTTTAAATTTTTTTCCAACCTACTGACCTGTTTTTTTTTCAAGTAAAATCCGTAAACCAATAAATAAAAAAAGTCTCGCCTTAAAGCCTTAATAACATAGGGAGGAGTAAATATGCCAGGATATACAGTATAAGGGTTTATATACAGTATAGAGGAAGTTTTTGTGCATAATGTGTGTCATCCATGCTCTGGGAAAAAGTTCCCGTGGGAATGACAGTAAGGTAGTATAAATATGACTGAAAATTAAGTTATAGAAGTTAAGATTGAGTGATGTACGTTAATCGATTGTTGGCAAATGTATGACAGTTTGAACGAGAAAGAAACCCAATAGCTGCTGTGAGTCATACAGTATATATAAAACAAATGTAAGCTTTGTTTACATTTTTGGTAGCCAGATAACAAATAATAGTAACATTTAATAATACTAAGATTTATATAGCAGCTATACCAAAACTGTTCTAAGTGTTTTACACTAATTTACAAATTGATAAAATATCTAAATTAATGATGATTACATTTGATAAAATGATCAGATAAAAAGCAATTAATTAAATATCAATTAATTATACACAAAATATTCTGTGTTACAGTGAAAAGTATTTTATAAACAATTATATAAATGTAGCACAATCAGGATTTGCAATCACACACAACCTAGTTAAATCGTTTGCATGCCCAGAACGGACCGTACTGTATATCTAAGAGAGAAAGGTTTGAAAACTGACAATATACTAGTCCCAATTGAAAATGTGCAGAGAAATAAAATCTTATCTCACAGGAAAAATTCTACTCAAGTATATTATAGTAAAATTTCCTAAATTACCCAAACAATCCCAAAGCAGAAATGAGGGTCAATTTCCTATTTCCTCTGTGTGGGAGATGGGATGTTTTTTGAAACAACCTAATATGCATAAATTGCAAAACTTTGTATATAAGTATATAATTATATTGCATTCAAAAACCATCCCAAATATTAAGTGATAAAAAAATTTCTTTAAAAAATGCCATTGCATTATAACAACAATACTAGCGTAAAATACATAATTAGCTTAAAATGATCTTTAACTTTGTTATTCAAGCTCAATTGACCTTAAACAAGCGATTAATTTGTTAAATTCGACATCAATAATCAATTAGTATGATAATCTACACTCAAAATCAATTTAGTTTGTGAAATATAGTCGATCATGGAACAGAAAACTTGTTTTAGACACGCTATACGAAACGACTGAGCTCGAATATTAATATATTGTTGTCAAGCAAAACCACCCACGGTTAAAATATGACACTTGACCTCTTTATATTGTATAACTTAGCAAGGAAGTGTCTGGCTATTTAGTCAAATTTTACATAAAATATTCCATAATTTCTTGTTATTTAAAGCTAAGAATACACTTTAGGACAAAAAATTGATATGAAATTTGCCATACGGCAATGATAAAGACTAAAAATTTAGTCGAAATGTCCACAAAATAAACATCGAATATAATATTACAAGCTTGCTGTTGAAAGATGAATGAATGTCCAATTATGGGCAAAAACATTACGAAAATACCAAACAAATTTGGCCGATAAATTGAAAATGCTTCGCTCTTTGTAAATCTCGTTTTATTTATTCAAAACAACTCGAATTCGTGAGTTGGGAGAAAAATAAAAGGGATCTTTAATGAACGAGGCATTTCTTATAACACAGCTAACTTCCATATGGGGGTCGTACAAATTTAATCCGAAATGGTCTCGAATTCGGCTCCATATATATAAAAACGTCGCCACTAAAATACGAAATATGTACAGGCAGACAACAAGGGTGTTTTCATGAGGCTGTACAAAGTTTAAAACGACATACCTTGCCACTCAATTGGGCCGAACCGTTGTGAACCAGAGCACAGACCATCGGTGGTAGCTCAGTGTCCACACCGCCGATGACACTGAACCCAAAACTCCCGCCAACATTTCGTTCGATTTCAACGATTTTTGAGTCGGACATCGCGGAGACATTGTCGGTACATTAAGCCATTGTTGTAAAGGATTTAAGCGAGATTTGTTAAGCTTTTTCACAAGAAAATCAATCAAAGTTTGACTCTCAAAGATCATATGTTATCCAGACAGCCCAATCTGTATATGTCTATATGGAAACGGCTTCGGGATATCATCGGGCAAGACCGTTGCGTCTCGGATGCTTACATCAGAGTGAACTCAATATGACACTGGAGTAATACCATTTTCAAAAAGCTAAGTAATTTTTTTCTTCCAATTTTGTTTTAAACTTTATTACAGTTAAAGATGTGAAATTTCAGATACATTTCTAATACAAATGAGTTAATGACTTGGACCAATAGAAAGCTTAAAGATGATGTCCACTCCTGTGCGCATGCGCGAACTTTGTTTACGTTTTGAACTTTTATATTTGTAAAATATGACTACTAACTGAATATCTAACACTTTTCTGGTTCACTATGCTTGTAAATGAATATAAACTCTACGTTTCAATTCAAAAAAGTTTGAAAGATGCAAAATTTGGGCAATGTTTATATCTGGGGGTCCCCCTCTGTTATGAGCAGAACTGATGCGCAGAACGGAGTGGACATCATCTTTAAAACAAAACTACACATAAGACATTTAATGGTTAGGTGGGATTTTCAAGTAGTTTTCCCGTTATTGCTGTTTCAAATGTTGGGGTCGGCCAGGGGCTGGGTTTTGGGTATACGGTATATTGCAGTTTTTTAAATCAGGTATACGGTATACTTTTTTACGTTATATTCGGGTATTTTGGGATACCTAAATTTTGTGAATTTCTGGTATAAAGTATCTCAATTACTGCTTACAAGTTTCAAAAAAGAAGTCAATGTGTGCAGAAATTTGTATCAATAAGAGTATACTGATTATTAATTAAACTATTATGTTAGTACATGTTAGATACTTAGATTTCAATAAACGTTGCTCATTCACCAAGTACTACATTATTAATGGTACCACCGCTGACAACCAGTCAATACTGACGGGCGCATGCACGCACGCACTTTCATGCAATCTCGTTCCCAGAGTATGCCTGTTCGCGGGTTAGGTTGTGGCATGCCACAACCTAACCCGCGAACAGGCATACTCTGGGAACGAGATTGACTTTCATGCAAATAAATTTCGGAAAATATGATAGTTAAGGTCCAGGCACACCGGACGCGATTCGACAACGCGACGCGATTTTTTAGTTTTTGAAAGTTAATTAAACAGCCAATGAGAGCAAATTTTCAACGTTATGTAGACCAAATAACTCAAAATGTTGTAGCGCTTCTAAAAATTTGGAAAATTCAAACTAGGATCAATTCAAAGTTATCGGTCCGTCGCATTGTCGAATCGCATCTGGTGTGTCTGGACCTTAACGAAGGAGTAGAAAATAGTTAGAATATATGCAAAAGCAGCTTCAGTTTGTCTGTTTGAGCTTTAATTGAACTGAAAAATCTTTTATACAGTTTAGTACTACTCATTCAGAAATTTATTGAATTTAACCACAATGGGGTCGGCTATTTTGCGAGCTGCGAGTTGCGAGCTGCGAGTTGCGAGTCGCTAGCCTCGCTTTGAATTAGGCCAGCGGCGGCGGAACAAAATTCGTTCTGGGGGGGCTAAATTTTTTCGGCGACCTCCCCCCCCCCCCCCCCCCCCCCCCGGTCAGTGTACCACTTTAGGGGTACATATACCAAAAAAGGGACGAAAAAAATTTTTTCGGACTTATATCAAAATTTTTTTTCGGAAAACACTTATACCTAAATTTTCAAAAAATTACCTAAATTTTTCCTTAATTATCAAAATTTTTCAAAAAATTCAAATTTTCTGGGGGGGCTAAGCCCCCCACTTTTACTTCTGGGGGGGCTTTAGCCCCCCCTGTTCCGCCGCCCCTGAATTAGGCTTTGAAAGTATATTAATATGGACGACATGAAAGGCAAAGTCGAAGGGTTTTTTGTTTTATAAATATTAATGACCTTCGAAGTTAAGGTTCCTGTAACTAAATTCGTTAATTTCAACACGTTTTCAGTGCACTTTAAGCCGGTTTTTCACTTCAACCGTATCGTAGCGAAGCGTATTTCTTTGTTTCCTGACCACTAGAGTGGAAATAATGACTTCGACACAAAAGAAAATGCTACGATACGGACGAGATGAAAATCGGCCTTTACTTGTTTGTTTACTTTGTTAGATCCATTGATACGTATGTTCAAGAATTAAAATAATTATATTATATTGAAAATAAAAGTGCAAGTTTATATTTGCCGTTTCTGTGTTTAATTAAATCTAGTAGTTATCCAGACCATTTTCTGCTTTCTAATCTTAAAATGGTTATTTAATTTTATTAGTAAGTATGACCAGACACCGACTCAGTTTGTTTATATATATACTGAACGCTGGGAACCCTATAAAACTCAAGTCCTGTTCATCCAGGGCCGTAGCAACCGGGGGGGCTGCAGCCCCCCCAATAATTTGCTAATAATCATTCTTTTTTCAAAATCATGCAAACTTTATCATTTAATCTGTGACAAACTGCAAAGAATGAAGATATTACTCATACTCCAGATCGTTCCTCGCGTAGAAATTTTAGCTGAATTTCTGTCGCGCATTTTCAAGAAAATCCCACAAAATCTGCATATTTTTGATGAACTAATGATTTATTTTGTCTTTTGCGTGTTGGGTCTTGCGAAAGAAACTCTGAAAATGCCATTTCAGACCATCTAGAGACTCCAGATTTTCGAAATTTTCTCAAATGTTCTGCCTTCATTTCCGCGCAACTGCCATTTACGACGAAAATTCCCGCCGCGCATTTATAATACTACAGTCTGGCCCATACTTTCCTGTAAATTTCGACATGCTAAAACGCTGTTTTCTGACTATCAGAATTCTGTTAAATCTTCCCCCAAAGTCCAGGAAATGGCATTTTAGAGACTCTAAATTTAAAAATTTCCTCGGGCCTTCGGCCCTCGCTTTCAGCCCCCCCAATCGAAAAGAGCTTCCTACGGCCCTGTCATCGGAAGTACAATTTATTTTATACAATTTATACATAGACATACATATACATATACATACATAAACTTTATCTAAACAGGGGAAAAAACCATCAGTATATCAAAACGATTGCTATTTACAAGTTTGTAAGTATAAAAATAAATGCAATGAATGTTTATTTCAAAAGCTGAAAATTGGCGCCAAATTGAGACAAAGCTAAAATCCCGTCATCCATGCAGGATGCCATACAGTTTTCAATTTGAATTTTTAGTGTAAACCACAGGTGTAAACACCTGGTTCGGTGCTTCAAAGCTAGGTTAGTGTTAATAACCCTGGGTTAAAATTAAACTCGATGTTATTAGAAATTAACAATATACTCGCAACTCGCAGCTCGCACTTTAGATAATCTCAACCACAATTCATTGTGAACCTAGACTTTGTTAGAACAGCAACTACAAAAAGTTTAAATTTGATTTATTAACATAGCTTTAGTGAGCATGGTATGAAATAATAGTTTTCTCATTGCAAAGGATCACAGTAAAATCGACAGGTGCTCATCTTTCTAATTATTATCCTTCAATTGTGACATGTTACTTGAAAATTATCAACATAATTTCGGGTATTTTTGTATATTTATATCAGGTATATAGGATACCAGGACCCCCTGGCCGACCCCAAAATGTGAAAATAAGCATAAATCTCGTAAAAATCCTAGGTACTAGTCTCAAAACACGCTTTCAATAACTCATCAGCTCAAGAAAAACTTGGAAAACCCTGGTAACCGTTTAAATGTCTTATAATTATATGTAGTTTTTTGGAAGCTTTCAAATTATGTAAGTCATATGAACGCAACATGGAATTGCCCCTCGATATGGTAAGTATTCCATAATTTTTGTTTCTCTAACTGCCTGACTAATGGTATCAAAATATTTATATTAGTAAACTAAACGGTGTCGTATTCGTATAGACTTTCAAAAAAAAGGCATTCGACACTGTCACTGATGATATCCTACTTAAAAAGTTGGATATTTACGGCATAACAGGAACGTCCCGATCTCAGCGTACACACGACGTCATCAACGTTGAATTTTGGTTGAAAAAAGGTTGCGACGTCGTTAACCTAATATCAACGTCGCCCTAATGTTGTTTTACAAACGTTGGTTCAACATCAGCTAACAGACGTCGATTCAATGTTGATTTATGGTTAATAATTTTAAACAGATGACGTCAACATCACAACGTAATCTCAACGTTGTTTCGACGTCACAATACAAATGTTGATTCAATTATTGACGTCGAGTCAACGTTTAATTAGAGACCTTACGATTTTAGGACGACAACGCGATGGCGACGACCAAAACAAACTCCTTCAAACAAATGGTAGTAAAGATAGTTCGTGGTATATTATCAATCGTATGAATTTAATACAGTTTTAGAAGTTGAAGACATGGGTTTTATGGTTGGGAAGAGTTCTGCCAAACCCAGCATGAAGTTGCACTTGTTGCGGCTTGGAATGCAACCGTTGTATGGACCTATCAAGACGTGAAAATCTGTGATTTGGCGTTGTAAACAGAGCGAGGACAATGTATAAATTATTCATATATTGTAATTACTCAATTCTTTTCAATGATCTATTGTATATTGGTAGCCGTTGCCGTCGCGTCGCCGCCCTAAAATCGTAAGGTCTCTATTATGGTTGATTAAATGACGTCAACTTGATAACGTAATTTCAACGTTGTTTCAACGTCATAATGCATACGGTGGTTCAACATCACTTCATTGACGTCCAGTCAACGTTTAATTAAGGTTGGGTTGGATGACGTCAACTTGACAATGTAATTTCAACGTTGTTTCAATTAAGGAGACGACGCAAACGGTGGTTGAACATCAATCACTTCACGGACGTCCGTCGTCCAATCAACGTTTAATCACGGTTGATTGGATGACGTCAACTTGAGAAGTAATTATTTCAACGTTAATGTTTCAATGTCATATAATACAAACAGTGGTTCAACATCACTTCATTGACGTCCAGTGAACGTTTAATTAACGTTGGTTGGATGACATCCACTAGATAACATAATTTCAACGTTGTCTCAACCTCACAATACAAATCGACACAACGTTGAATTATGGTTGATTAGATGACGTGCCCATGACAATAAAATCTCAACGTTGTTTTAACGTCACAATACAAGCGTTGATTCAATATTACTTTATCGACATCCGACACAACGTTTAATTTTGGTTAGTGGATGATGTCAACTTGACACTGACGTAATCTCCACGCTGTTTCAACGTCACAATAAAAACGGGGCTTCGAAATCACTTAATTGATAGATGTCGATTAAACGTATATGCATTGATTAGCCATGACGCTGTTCAAGAATAAATTGTTCAACTACTTGATGGATGCTGTTACGCACAATTGTAGTTTGTAATTTTAGACATTTTACATTATTAACCTTATTTATCCACTGTTATATATACGCACTTATGTTATGTTATTGTATACAGCTATTTCAATTAAGGTTGTCCACGAGTAAAGCGGAAAAGTCGAATACGAGCGCTAAAGGCTGCTGGGATTTAATGAATTTATTGAAATAGCTGTATATACTTGACAGTTGTTATACACTGATCACCGATTGATACCATCCGATCTATGTAATTGATTTTTATCAGTATAAATAAAGATTTTATTATTATTATGATGATGATTATGATTATGATTATATGATTATGATTATGATTATAATTATTATTATTATTATTATTATTATATGTATATGGATGTCTTTACGTACCATATATATGGTCAAATAAAGCACATGCAGTGTACACAATCGGGGCCACTTACATTGAAATATGGTGACAATTTTACGATCATTCATTAACTTTTTACTCCCTTTGCTTTCCATTAATTGTTAAAATTGTGTGCCCATGCTGAAGTGTCAAAACGGCGGGTGCATGACTCTCATAAGAAAGATCAGCATTTTAATTATCTGGTCTTATATATAGAATAAACAGAAATTAATTGCACGTTACTGTTTCATTTATTTGAACGAACTGCGTTGTAAATAGGTTTTTCTCTATTAATGGATGAAAAAATAACCAATCCATGGCTCCAATGGATCCGGAAATCTTCTTCACCCATCAAATAACGGCGCGATTTTTTACGGCGCTCAAATATCTTTTATATACTTTCACGGCAAATAATTTCCTTTTTCTTTTGTTCATCGAAGACATCTGCTTTGCAATCCTCATAAGTACTGTTGTATTTTAAGTCTAATCCCAGTGGTCTAATCCCTCAAGTTTAATCCCAGTGGTCTAATCCCTCAAGTTTAATCCCAGTGGTCTAATCCCTCAAGTTTAATCCCAGTGGTAGCCTACATATGTATTCAATTTTTCAATCCAAGTGTATGTAAATTAGGATTCGGCCGTAATTAAGTATTTAAGGACATGGTTTTGAACTCATCTCGTTTCTGAATATTTGTTTTGTATTGGCTGGTGATATATATATATATATATATATATATATATATATATACAGTATATCCATGCATTTATTGTTTGAACGCCCACGTTTCGACCACGGACATTTAAGCAGCCGCCTTTTTCGATATATATATATATATATATATATATATATATATTTTAACAGTTCTTTGAAATCCGAGGAAACTGGAAAATAATTAAGAAGAGATTAATACACGAGAAATCTAAACTTTAATTATAAGACAGTCCTATAAAATTTCAAAGATTTTATTAAAATTTTATTGAGCACATGCAGAACAGCCAGATATAATATATAATTTTATTCTTTCAATAACTCAAAAATCAAAATTTTTTATTTTTTTTTATGAATTGTCCTGTTTATAGTTGAGCGTACTGCACAAACAAGGAGCACTTCTAATATTATGGAGGAAAATATAACCCGTATAAGAAATGGACTTCATATATGCTTTCTAAACTGCTTAAATCGTGCTCCCATCATGCTTTGCGCGCTTAGAGTTTAAGGTTTAAGGTTTTAGAGTTTAAGGTTTGCAAAGGACAACCTTTATTGAATTAGCTGTATATGCATGGAATAACCTTTCCAGTGCAATAAAATCATCCAAAAGTATCACTAGCTTTAAAACCAAAATGAAACGAATATATACTAATACTGGAAATTTATTTCCAGCCATTGAATTAATTTTATAAAACCATTGATAAATTATTTAATATATTTATACAGTGCATGCCTATTGGAAGATCACACGGCCTATTGGAAGATCACCTTTTTCTTTTTGCCTTCTTTTTTATTTCTAATTAATATTATATATCCTTGTAACTATAATTAATCTGGTGAAATCTTACCGTTTTTAATAAAGTCAATAAAGTCGATGGCATGGAACACAGTAAGATTTTAAAAACAACGAAAAGACAATTGAACATTCTGATCAATGGATCATGACTGGATGGCATGAAGAACAGTGGAATTTTCAAAACAATGGAAAGACAATGGAACATTTTGATCAATGATCATGACTGGATGGCATGAAGAACAGTGGGATTTTCAAAACAACGAAAAGACAGTGGAACATTTTGATTACTGGATCATGATTGGATTTCATGAAGAACAGTGGAATTTTCAAAACAATGGAAAGGCAATGGAACATTTTGATCAATGATCATGACTGGATGGCATGAAGAACAGTGGGATTTTCAAAACAACGAAAAGACAATGGAACATTTTGATTACTGGATCATGACTGGATGGCATGAAGAACATGGGATTTTCAAAACAACGAAAAGACAATGGAACATTCTGATCACTGGATCATGAATGGATGGCATGAAGAACAGTGGGATTTTCAAAACAATGAAAAGACAATGGAACATTCTGATTAATGGATCATGAATGGATGGCATGAAGAACAGTGAGATTTTCAAAGACAACGAAAAGACAATGGAACATTCTGTCACTGGATCATGAATGGAGAGCAGTGAGATTTTCAAAACAATGAAAAGACAATGGAACATTCTGATCAATGGATCATGACTGGATGGCATGAAGAACAGTGGGTTTTCAAAACAATGAAAAGACAATGGAACATTTTGATCAATGATCATGACTGGATGGCATGAAGAACAGTGGGATTTTCAAAACAACGAAAAGACAATGGAACATTCTGATCACTGGATCATGAATGGATGGCATGAAGAACAGTGGGATTTTCAAAACAATGAAAAGACAATGGAACATTCTGATTAATGGATCATGAATGGATGGCATGAAGAACAGTGAGATTTTCAAAGACAACGAAAAGACAATGGAACATTCTGTCACTGGATCATGAATGGAGAGCAGTGAGATTTTCAAAACAATGAAAAGACAATGGAACATTCTGATCAATGGATCATGACTGGATGGCATGAAGAACAGTGGGTTTTCAAAACAATGAAAAGACAATGGAACATTTTGATCAATGATCATGACTGGATGGCATGAAGAACAGTGGGATTTTCAAAACAACGAAAAGACAATGGAACATTCTGATCACTGGATCATGAATGGATGGCATGAAGAACAGTGGGATTTTCAAAACAATGAAAAGACAATGGAACATTCTGATTAATGGATCATGAATGGATGGCATGAAGAACAGTGAGATTTTCAAAGACAACGAAAAGACAATGGAACATTCTGTCACTGGATCATGAATGGAGAGCAGTGAGATTTTCAAAACAATGAAAAGACAATGGAACATTCTGATCAATGGATCATGACTGGATGGCATGAAGAACAGTGGGTTTTCAAAACAATGAAAAGACAATGGAACATTTTGATCAATGATCATGACTGGATGGCATGAAGAACAGTGGGATTTTCAAAACAACGAAAAGACAATGGAACATTCTGATCACTGGATCATGAATGGATGGCATGAAGAACAGTGGGATTTTCAAAACAATGAAAAGACAATGGAACATTCTGATCAATGGATCATGAATGGATGGCATGAAGAACAGTGAGATTTTCAAAGACAACGAAAAGACAATGGAACACTCTGTCACTGGATCATGAATGGAGAGCAGTGAGATTTTCAAAACAATGAAAAGACAATGGAACATTCTGATCAATGGGTCGTGACTGGATGGCATGGAAAACAATGGGGGTTTTCAAAACAATGAAAAGAGAAAGAAAATTTACTGTACTGTGTTACATACAGTAACTGTTTAGTCACTCATACATGATAAAAAGCCGAACAAAAGGCAATGTAAAACGTAACAGAACGGCGAACATGCATATTCGACCATATCAAATAATGCCATAATGATATGTTGGGATTAAGTAGCGTTGCAGACTGCAGAGGAGAGTGGTCAGTATAATAAGCTAAGGCTCCCTCATACACTATCCCATAAAAAACCTGCACCCCTCTTTGCAGATGATGCTACTGATCTGCCCTTAATCATATTCCCCAATTTTTCGACATGAAAACACAATAGGTTGTAATTGTTTGGCAAATGATGCTTACAGATATAATCACTGCATGATCAAATAAATATTAATATATTAACTATTATTTAATTAATAACTATTTCTATTTCTTGATATTGAACTAGCCGTTTGACATCTCGATCATTTCTAATGATAGTGTTTGGCAATTTCCTAATCTTTTTCAATCTCGCTCTGTCGATATTTAGTTCACTCGTGCATTTCTCAACTAAAGCCTCAAAGTTTAAGCACTTGTGATCGAGTTCAACTTCGATAAAATCTGTCTCTTCCGATTCTACAAGACGACACTTTAGCACCAACACAGAATCGTCTGTAGAAGGTGTAGAACATGCTCGCTCACCTGAGGCTGCAATTTGGATATTGTCAGCAAAGTGGGACTCGTTATTTTTGACACCCTGACCAGAATTTGCCAAACCATCATTCTGCTTTACATGGCCAGTATTCTGAATACCATGTCTAACTGCAAATTCTGTGGCACTTTCCAAATATGGGAATTCTGGGTTCATTAGATAATTAGGAACAAATCCTGCACCTGAGCTGGCCTCATGAGGTGTCTGATTCGAGTTGGAATGCCAAGCTGCATCTAGTGATAAATAATAAATAAATAATTTAATGAATGTTGATTACATGTACACGAGGTCAGGGCCGTATTAACGTTCTGTGGGGTCTATGGCATATTATGAGCATGGGCCCCTTTACCTCCCCCACCCCCACCCAATGGCATTTAAAAAACTGAATTCAGAACAATTAAAAAATACCCTTTGTATTCCATGCGTTAAAAAGCCGCATGTGTATAATTTACAAAAAAATGAAATATACATCAATAATTTGAACTAAAATTAGTATAGTGTGTGAAAAGCAAATATGTTTGATTAGTTGGTTTAAAAGCGCCGGTGTGATATATGCTGCTTCTGCCATGTGGTTAATCCGACACTCAGCACATAGGTGTGGTTATAATTGCCCTTAGAGTTCCTACAAGTCAACTCACACCACAACATATATCGTCGGTATTAACTTAATTGTGCTGTATTGTAAGCAGTAGTAAGATGAGTGAAAATGTATTAGAGTACTGTATGAATAAAGCATATACCCTAAACCTCAGACTATAAGCCCTGGGCTTATACTCTTTCGTAAGCGATTTTTGATGGGCTTATACAAGGGGGGCTTATATACGGGAGGGGGGCTTATACATGGACGATCTTTTGTGTTAGTGTAATAGTGATAAACAATAATTATAGTGATTAATAGTGGTAAACAATAGTGATAAACAAGTGGGTTTATATTCAGGTGGGCTCATATTCAGGGGGGGCTAAAATTTGGAATGAGGTGAGGCGGTGGCGTTCACTTACTACATGTGGTTTGGCTTATACACGGGGGGGGGGGCTTATATTTGGAGGTTTATGGTAGGTGAGTTTGATCTCCTGAGCACTCACATTGTAAGACATTTGAACTTAACCCCACATGTGGCTAAATGATACAAGCTAGTAGACTTAATTGCAGTATTAGTTTCACCTTTCACCATTGAAGCCACTGAGGCTCTGAGACAAGTTGTACGTTCAAAAGCCGGTTAGCTTTAAAATCCTAGTTTAATGAAAAATGTCAAAGAATCTTCCCAATTTACACCTTGTTTATAAACTTGAAAATATTTTTCCAAAAATCTTGTCTGGATCAGTTGACATTTTATTTTGTAAAATTGAAGTAAACAGATGTACAGAAATACACAAACAAAAACGACTGGTTATGAAACTAATCCTGCTTTGAACAACTGGCCCAGAAGAACCTTGAGAAAACTGGAGACAATTACCAACAACAAATCCAGAGATGGAGTTGCTGGCCGAGGGGGGGTGGGGGGTGGGGTGCAGTGCTCTGTGGCAAAGGGGTTACGAGGGATATGTCAATTTCTTTATCAAATCCATTTTTTATTTGAAAAGCAAATATTATCGTACCAAAATTGCCAGTTCCCTAGAAGATTGTTGTCCATACCTCCCTCTAGTGATTACGCACTTGGTTGAAGGTTGCACCCCTAACTATGACCAATGGTCACCCCCCCCCCCTCCCACACCTCCTCTCTCTACTTTTGCATGTGTTTTCAAGCACAACAACTCTATCCTATATTCTACAAACTCATGGGGATTCATATTGCAGGTTAGGGTTTTATTAAGAGATTACAAAACCGGATTCCAAGTTTATATTGACATCGCATGCAAAAAACACCTGTGAGTTAGACTTGATTAACTCTTTAATGATTAACTCTTTAATTGGCAATGTGCCCAGATGCGCCCTACTTTGTTATTTTACTCAGTCTAACGCCAGACAATTTTACTTGTCAAGGGGAGAGCACTGGCACTTAATAGGTTAACTAGCCTATCTGTCCATGTGTCTAGTTAACCCATTGAGTTGCATTGTGCCCTACTTTATTATTTTACTCTGTCTAACACCAGACGATTTTACTTGCAATCGTCAAGGGGATCTCGAGTGCTGGCGCTTAATGGGTTAGTTCATCAGGTTATAGAGACTCAATATTCTGACCCCATCATTGTTTACCTGGACAAGCTGCTGATAACTGATCAGCACCACCATTATCTTTCACATGTTCACTTCCTTCCCCCGACAAAAGTCGCTTGATCTCTTCGCTTTGCGTGACATTGGCTGCAAGTTCATTCTTGTGTGACCTGATAGTCGGGTTAGCTCCGCTTTGCAACAAAAATGAAACAACATGCTTGTGGCTCCTTTTAGCTGCCCAGTGTAGTGCAGTCCAACCGTTCACTCCATTTTGGGAATTTACATCGACGCCGGCACCGACAAGCACCCCAACCTTGTCAACATCCCCCAAGCAAGCTGTCTCTCGTAACGATTCTTCTAAATTATGAGAATTTTGCATATCGTGTTGAATGTCTAGCTTATAAAATATTATCTGCTAGTCTCTAAATGGCTCGGCCACAAACTTTTGCAATCAAGTGCAACCAATTAAGAATTTGCATGGTCAGGACACAGAATGGTCAGGATTTCGTGACGATGTTTCCACTTGTGGTAATAAAATATTGGCCACTCTTACTTCAGTTATTCCTTAATCTGAGGAAATTTTCAACCATTGACTAAAATTTTCAAGAATTTTCTCAAAGAGAATTTCTAAGATTCCTTTGCCATTGCCGATTCTGAGCCTCCCTAATCCTATGCTTTTATACCCATCCGCTCCTCAGGTTACCTTTCCCGCACCCCAGAGGTAAACGCCGGAACGATGTGAAGGCAAGGGGGGCAGATTTTCGTGAAAGGGCACTTTTGAATTGATATATACTAAAAGATGTTTGCAACACATCAGGAGTTGAACTTCGCCTAATCTCGCGCCTAATCGTATTTTCTATTTACTGGATGATAGGGGTGTGAGGGGTTTCTCCGCCAGGCGATGCTAGCTTGAAGCTCAATGACTGCATGCATTTCTTGCGTTTTCTGAAGCAAATTCGTAAAAGAATTGCACTAACATTTCTGACAATTCGCTTTTTCGCCAAGGCAATCCTTTAAATTGAAAGGGCACCTTTGCCCCTCCTGGTAAAGGGCAATGGGGGCGACTGCCCCTCCTGCCCCCCCCCCCCAGTTCTGGCGTCCCTGGCGTCCCTGGAAATTTCGCTCAGGAAAACAAAATTCCATGGTTGTTGAATGTAAAAACTGAACTCTTACCATTTATTGGTAATTATTAGTTCCCATATGGTAATTAAATTAGTAATAAACCATCATCATGTTTACTGTAATAAATAATTAATATTGGTATAAATGGTACTTTATTTTTTCCTGTCCATAGGAAAGTACCAATTTACCATATGGGAAATCTATAAAAACTAATAATACGGTAAGAGTTTTTACATTGATAGTATACATAGATGTTTAGATACTACAAGATACAAAATTTACCAGAAATATTTTGTAACTATTAATTTTGTGTCAAACATTGCAAACAACAAGATTACATCATCACATTACCAGAAAAGCATCGCCCCTCCTCCAAAACATTCAACTAGCAGTAGCAAACAAAGGATTTGAAATTTGGAACGGTCTTGCGAAAGACTGTATATATTCAGGCAAAACCTAATAATTAAAAAAAAAACACTCAAAAACCATATATAACATGTAAAGTAGAGGAATTTTTTTTCCTGTGGAAGGAATTCTTGGCAAGAAATTGCTGAGCTTGCATTGATTCATTTCAGGAGAACAACAATTCAACAATATAAACATGACTCTGTCTCTGATATTTTTGTTCGTTCATTTAATAAAAAGATGAACAATTCATTATCGAAAGAAGAATTAGAAAATAAACCAAAGGCTTCAGATGAAACTCTTGAATCAGGCAACGATCCTACAGACAGCAAGAAAATATACGAAGTTATTGTCGCAGGGGGCGAGAATAAAAAATCTGTCGAACACATTTTGCTGCCCGCCTGTTTACCTAAGGAAAAAAACTTGCTAGCAAGATTATGGTCTGCGATATTTAGCAAATCATCAGAGAACCCTCAGTCCAAAACAGACGAAGCAAACTTGTTAGGAAAATGGAGTTATCTTAAACCGATGAGAAATAGACGAGAGGCGTTCATGACAGCAATTTATCAAGATCAGATGTTTGCATTTGGGACACGTTCAGGTGCTCGCTGTTTTGAAACGTTGGATTTAAGTAACCCTCGTGCTCGGTGGCAATATCATGGGGATATTCTTTCGGAGTATATATCGGCGCCGGCTGCCGTAGTGTATGGAGATAGTGTGTATATATTTGGTGGTAACATCCAAAGAGGGGCATCTACCAATGTGTACAGGTAACAGGTTACTCATAAAAAACATATTAATCATATAATAAATTCCTCTATGGACACCTCCCTAATACAGACACCTCTCTAATACAGACACCTCTCTAATACACATACTCTCTAATACAGACACCTCTCTAATACACACACCTCTCTAATACAGACACCTCTCTAATACACATACCTCTCTAATACAGACACCTCTCTAATACAGACACCTCTCTAATACAGACACCTCTCTAATACAGACACCTCTCTAATACACACACCTCTCTAATACAGTCACCTCTCTAATACACACACCTCTCTAATACAGACACTTCTCTAATACAGACACCTCTCTAATACAGACACTTCTCTAATACAGGCACCCCTCTAATAGGGACACCTCTCAAATACAAACACCTCTCTAATACAGACACTTCTCGAATACAGACACCTCTCTAATACAGACACTTCTCTAATACAGGCACCTCTCTAATAGGGATGCCTCTCAAATACAAACACCTCTCTAATACACATACTCTCTAATACAGACACCTCTCTGATACAGACACTTCTTTAATACAGACACCTCTCTAATAGGGATGCCTCTCAAATACAGACACCTCTCTAATACACATACTCTCTAATACAGACACCTCTCTAATACGGACACCTCTCTAATACAGACACCTCTCTAATACAGACACCTCTCTAATAAAAACCTCTTTAATACAGACACCTCTCTAATACAGACACCTCTCTAATACAGACACCTCTCTAATACAGACACCTCTCTAATACAGACACCTCTCTAATACAGACACCTCTCTAATACAGACACCTCTCTAATACAGGCACCTCTCTAATAGGGACACCTCTCAAATACAAACACCTCTCTAATACACACACTCTCTAATACAGACACCTCTCTAATACACATACTCTCTAATACAGACACCTCTCTAATACAGACACCTCTCTAATACAGACACCTCTCTAATACAGGCACCTCTCTAATAGGGACGCCTCTCAAATACAAACACCTCTCTAATACAGTCGCCTCTCTAATACACATACTCTCTAATATAGACAACTCTCTAATACAGACACATCCCTAATACAGACACTTCTCTAATACAGGCACCTCCCTAATACAGACACCTCCCTAACACAGACACCTCTCTAATACAGACACCTTTCTAATACCGACACCTCTGTAATACAGACACCTCTCTGATACAAACACCTCTTTAATACAGACACCTGTCTAATACAAAAACCTCTAATATGCAAACCTCTCTAATACAGACGCCTGACTCTAGCACAGATGCATCTCTGAGACAGACACCTCTTTAATACAGACACCTGTCTAATATACACACCTCTCTACTACAGATACCTCTCTAATACAGACTCCTCCTCTAATACAGACACTTCTCTAATACAGACATCTCTCTAATATGGATACCTCCAATATGGACATCTCTCCAATACAGACGTCTCTCCAATTGGAGACAATTTCTCGAATACCAACAACTTTCAAATACATACTCACCTGACACTTTGAAATTAATCCTGTAGTCAAAAGTCAATCCTGTTAATACATTTATAGGTTCAGTCTGGTTCCACCTTATACAGGTGACCTGATCTGCCAAATGCCTGAACCGAGATCGTCCCACAATGCTGAAATATTTGACGACAAAGTGATCATCCTTTGTGGATCGTCAACAGGCTTCCCCTGGGCCAATGATTTGGTGGACACTGTAATGCAATATGATATCACGAACAACAGTTTTAATACATTACCATCATTACCAGTGAAAGTTGTTTATGCAGCGACAGCAAAGTGGAGAGATAATGTCTTGATTGTTGGCGGGCGAGGTGAACAGTATCACGACACTAACACAGTTTGGATGTATAATGTTTCCAGTGGGGAATCTCAAAAGTTGAGACCAATGAGGTGCAAGAGAAACAGTTGTGCTGCAGTTGTCGCAGGAGATATGTTGGTTGTCACAGGAGGACAAAACTCAAGGGCGTTCGAGCTTGTTTCGGCAGAATGCTACAACTTTCACACAAGTAAATGGACGGAACTGCCTCCCATGAAGCAGGCGAGAAATTGCCCTTCTGCAGTCGTAAGATACAGAACTGTCGACAGAGAGCAAGTTCCTGCTGGACGCCAACCAGTCAAGGAAGAGAATTAGATGTCAAAATTGAACAGGGACACTTGGAAAGTTGAGGGTCTATCTAATATTTAATCTTGATCCTTTGTATGTTAATAAATTCAAAAGTAACAATGCCAACAAATGCAAAGTGCGTAAGTGTGTAACAGATCCCTAATTTTCACCTCCATTGGTTGTCTGCCATTGTTGGTAATTGAGGCCGCTGTTGTCAAGCTCTAACCACAAGCTTCTGTATATATAAATATATCATGGTACTGCCATGTTTTGGGTTATCGGTAAATATTAAGATTTTGTTGAGGTCTAATAAAATGTATATATAAATGTCCACTCAATAATTTCCATCAACAACACACTTCAACTATTGAATCGAGCGAGACACCAACAAAATCTGTGCTTTTTATCTAACTTATAAAAATCTAAAAATGTATCTTCACCAGTGGCGTAACGTTAAAGCAGGGGGGCCCCGGTTCAAAATTTTCGAAGGCCCCCCCCCAGTAGATGTGCCAAAGGCACAAGTCAAGCGCCATATTTGCACAAGTTTTCTAGGGGGTCCAGGGCATGCTCATCCGGAAAATTTTTTAATCTCGACTCTCTGAAATGCCATTTCCTGGACTTTGGGGAGAGATTTTACAGAATTCTGATGGTCAGAAAACAACATTGTAAGATATCATAGGCCCTGGCCAATGTTTTTGCTCTATCGCCTAAGCCTGGGGGCAGGGACGCCGGAACTGGGGGGGGGGGGCTGCCCCCCTTGCCTTTTGCTAGGGGGGGGGCAGAAGTGCCCTTTCAGTTGTAAAATACTACGTGATAAATTACATTTTCACTCATCAAGGGGAGAGCGCTGGCACTTAAAGGGGAAGTCAAGTCCGTTCTGCGCATCGGTTCTGCTCATAACAATGTGAGGACCTCTAATCTGAACATTGCCCAAATTTCGAATTTTTCTGAACATAAACTCTATTTCATATTCATTTAGGCTATGTTTACATTGTATCGGATCACTTTGCGTCCGACGCAAAAACCATACCGGATAGGGCTTCTGTTTACATATGAAATGTTGTTATCGTCTCAATTTCTGCAACGAACCGGTGGTGCGGCGGTTCGCTCTTCGAAGTGGTGCGCGGTGTATCGGATCGGTTTTTGCAACGCTCCCATTGTAATGTAAACACCAATCGGAGCAATTTCGGTTCAATGCGTGACTCAAGATGGAATCTGGCAAACAATAACTTACTATTCTAATAATATATAGAAGAAAATACGACGGCATAGATGGGCGGGGCGGAAGCTGTTTACACTTGGGCCGTAACTTTTCGCGAACGAAACAAAAACTGACCGATACAATGTAAACATAGCCTTAGAAGCATAGCGAACCAAAATGGTGTTAGATATTCAGACAGTACATCATATTTTAAAAAATACAGCAGTGCAAAATGTAAACAAACCGTTTGTTTACATTACGGACTTGACTTCCCCTGTAATGGGTTAACTGGCCTATCTGCCCATGTGTCTAGTTATAAACCGGCATTGTCAGTCGCATCTCTGGAGTCGCATTGTGCCAGTAGCTCAGATGCGCCCTACTTTATTATTTTATTCTGTCTAGATAATGCCAGACAATTTTACTTGTCAATTATAATGGTTTTACCATATGGGAAATCTATAATCCAATGATATGGTAATTAACAGTTTTATGAATGTTCATAATACACATAGATGTTTATAGATACTACAAAATTTACCAGAAATATTTTGTAACTATTTTGACCCCTATTTTGTATCGAACAACAAGATACATCATCAACAATACCAGAAACTCATCGCTTCTCCTCCAAAACATTCACTAGCAAGTAGCAAACAAAGGATTTGAAATTTGGAACGGTCTTGCGAAAGACTGTATATATTCGGGCAAAATCAAATAAATAAAATTTTCAAAACAAAAACCCTGGAATTTTTTTTTCCTACGGAAGGAATTCTGGGCATGAAATTGCTGAGCTTGCATTGATTCATTTCAGGAGAACAACAATCAACAATATAAACATTCACTCTGATATTTTCGTTCGTTCATTTAATAATAATAATATTAAGATGAACAATTCATTATCGAAAGAAGAATTAGAAAAGAAACCAAAGGCTTTAGATCAAACTCTTGAATCAGGCAACGATCCTACATACAGCAAGAAAATATACGAACTTATTGTCGCAGGGGGCGAGAATAAAAAATCTGTCGAACACATTTTGCTGCCCGCCTGTTTACCCAAAGAAAAAAACTTGCTAGCAAGATTATGGTCTGCGATATTTAGCAGCAAATCATCAGAGAACTCTCAGTCCAAAACAGACGAAGCAAACTTGCCGGGAAAGTGGAGTTATATTAAACCAATGAGAACCAGACGACAGTCCTTCATGACAGCGATTTATCAAGACGAAATGTTTGCATTTGGAGGTTTTGGAACTGGTCGATCTATGGAAACGTTGGAGTTAAATAGCCCCCGCGCTCGGTGGCAGCATCGCGGTACAATTTTCCCCGTGGATTTATGGGCATCGGCTGCTGTACAGTATGGTGGGTTTGGGTACATATTTGGAGGCGGCATCGGTGGGGTGGCAGCTACTAATGTTTACAAGTTAGTAATAATACAGTAAATTCCTTTAGTAACACCCCCCCCCCCCCCCACCACCACCACCACTACCCCCTCTCCCTTATTCACAACAAAACAACAGACGTGTGATTATTAGTTTTTCATTTTTAATTGACTTGGAAATTCATGTCAGTTTACTGCATTAATACATTAGGACACCTCTCTAATATGGACATATCTCTAACAAAGAGAATTGCCTCTCTAATGTACCTATCAATGTTTTCCCCCTGAGAGGGGGGTGCGGGCAACCCAGGGCAATTTTGACATTTTTAAAATTTTGTAGTCAAAATCCCCACTGTTGGGCAAGGAATGGCTGTCAAAATTCCACAGTACATTCCTAAGATAACAAGGCAAACATATGTTTTCCAATGCGAACATACAGTCTATACTGGTTTAAACTTGGTAAAAATTGAGACACTGTGTATAAAATACCTTTTCCGATGAAACTTGGTCTTGCTTCTCTGCCATACTTGTTACCAGGCAAAACCACGCAAACTTTCAAGATGGCGGATGTCAAAATTTCCCGACTCTCAGAGTTGATGCATAGGTCAAATTCCCCTCACTGGAGCTTCATAGTGTTGTCAAAGTCCCTGGGTCGCCCGCACTGCCCCCTCAGGGGGAAAACAATGATAGGTTCATAATACAGACACGTACCTCTCAAATGCAAATACCTCCCTAATACAGACACCTGTCTAATACAAGTACTTCTCTAATATAGACACCTCTCTAATATAGAAACTTCTCTAATACAGACACCTCTCCAATACAGACACCTCTCTAATACAGACATCTCTAATACAGAAACCTCTCTAATACAGAAACCTCTCTAATACAGACACTTCTCTAATACAGACTCCTCTCTAACACAGACACCTCTCTAATACAGTCACCTCCCTAATACAGACACCTCTCTAATACAGACACCTCTCTAATACAGACACCTCTCCAATACAGACACCTCTCTAATACAGACATCTCTAATACAGAAACCTCTCTAATACAGAAACCTCTCTAATACAGACACTTCTCTAATACAGACTCCTCTCTAACACAGACACCTCTCTAATACAGTCACCTCCCTAATACAGACACCTCTCTAATACAGACACCTCTCTAATACAGACACCTCTCCAATACAGACACCTCTCTAATACAGACATCTCTAATACAGAAACCTCTCTAATACAGAAACCTCTCTAATACAGACACTTCTCTAATACAGACTCCTCTCTAACACAGACACCTCTCTAATACAGTCACCTCCCTAATACAGACACCTCTCTAATACAGACACCTCTCTAATACAGACACCTCTCCAATACAGACACCTCTCTAATACAGACATCTCTAATACAATACAGAAACCTCTCTAATACAGAAACCTCTCTAATACAGACACCTCTCTAATACAGACACCTCTCTAATACAGACACCTCTCTAATACAGACACCCTAACACAGACACCTCTCTAACACAGACACCTCTCTAATACAGACACCTCTCTAATACAGACACCTCTCTAATATGGACACCTAGCTCCAAATTCTCCACAGACAAGTATCTCTAATACAAAAACCTAGCTCTCTAATATAGAAACCTCTCTAATACAGGTAACTCTCTAATACAGGTACCTCTCTAATACAGACACATATTTAACACAGACACCTCTGCAACACAGACATCTCTCTAAAACAGACAAGTACCTCTCTAACACAGACACCTCTCTAATACAGACACATATTTAACACAGACACCTCTGCAACACAGACATCTCTCTAAAACAGACAAGTACCTCTCTAATACAGATATACCTCTCCAACACAGACAAGTAACTCTCCAATACAGACATCTCTCTAACACAGACAAGTTAATATGGACACCTAGCTCCAAATTCTCCAATACAGAAACCTCTCTAATACAAAAACCTAGCTCTCTAATATAGAAACCTCTCTAATACAGGTAACTCTCTAATACAGGTACCTCTCTAATACAGACACATATTTAACACAGACACCTCTGCAACACAGACATCTCTCTAAAACAGACAAGTACCTCTCTAATACAGATATACCTCTCCAACACAGACAAGTACTCTAATACAAAAACCTAGCTCTCTAATATAGAAACCTCTCTAATACAGGTAACTCTCTAATACAGGTACCTCTCTAATACAGACACATATTTAACACAGACACCTCTGCAACACAGACATCTCTCTAAAACAGACAAGTACCTCTCTAACACAGACAACTCTCTAATACAGGTACCTCTCTAATACAGACACCTCTGCAACACAGACATCTCTCTAAAACAGACAAGTACCTCTCTAATACAGATATACCTCTCCAACACAGACAAGTAACTCTCCAATACAGACATCTCTCTAACACAGACAAGTGCCTTAATATGGACACCTAGCTCCAAATTCTCCAATACAGAAACCTCTCTAATACAGAAACCTAGCTCTCTAATATAGAAACCTCTCTAATACAGGTAACTCTCTAATACAGGTACCTCTCTAATACAGACACATATTTGACACAGACACCTCTGCAACACAGACATCTCTCTAAAACAGACAAGTACCTCTCTAATACAGATATACCTCTCCAACACAGACAAGTAACTCTCCAATACAGACATCTCTCTAACACAGACAAGTGCCTCTCTAATACAGACACTTCTCTAATACAGACACTTCTCCAATATAGACACCTATCTAACATTGACACCTCTCTTAACTGCAACACAGACATCTCTCTAAAACAGACAAGTACCTCTCTAATACAGATATACCTCTCCAACACAGACAAGTAACTCTCCAATACAGACATCTCTCTAACACAGACAAGTGCCTCTCTAACACAGACACCTCTCTAATACAGCCAACTACAGTACTCTAATACGAACATCTCTCTAATACTGATTCTTTGAAGCAAAAAGTAATTAATCCTGATAATACATTTATAGATTCAGTCTGGTTCCACCTTATGCAGTTGACTTGATTGGCCAAATGCCTGAACCGAGAACTTTACACAATGCCGAAATATTTGAGGACAAAGTTATCATTTTCTGCGGATCATCAACTGGCTATCCCGATGCTTCGGTGGACACAGTTTATCAGTATGACATCACAAACAACAGTTTTAAAACATTACCATCATTACCAGTGAAGGTTGTATTTGCAGCAACGGCAAAGTGGAAAGATAATGTCTTGATTGTTGGCGGGCAGGGTGAACAGTTTCAGACATTAAACACGGTTTGGATGTACAATGTATCGAGTGGGGAATCCCAAAAGTTGCGACCAATGAGAGACAAGAGACATGGTTGTGCTGCCGTCGTTGCAGGAGATATGTTGGTTGTCATGGGGGGACAAAACTTGAGACAAATGGAACTTGTTTCAGCAGAATGTTACAACCTTCAGACAAACAAATGGATGCAACTTCCCCCCATGAAGCAGGCAAGACGATATCCCTCTGCAGTCGTAAGATGCAGGGACATTGATTGAGCAAGGTCAAGTTGCTGCAAACCATTTAAAGTAACAATTAAGGGTTAAGGCAGAGTTCTAACTCTATAAGGGCAGGGGCTCGCATCCAAAGTTTTTTCAAGGGGAGGTTCTGGGATGTAAAGCATTACAAAGTTTCATTTTGAGAGTGGCTTTTGGTTGAGCCGCACTACAATAACAAAGAAAGAATATCTATTTACCTTGGGTCGGTACGACACCGAGGTCTTAACTCCGGCTCCTATTTTTTTTAATTTTTTTTTTCTTGTTTTTTTTCCCATTTGTGTCGAGCCGCGCGCGTAGTCGAAGATCGAAGGGCCTGCGGAGGAGACGACAACTTCCGGTAAATAAGTGTACTTCCGGATTATTTCAAGCATCGGCCAAAGCGAAACGGAACCCGAAGCTGTCCTTGCACAAAATCCGTCAAATTTTTTTATTTAAAACCAGAAGATGTGATAATGTTGACATAGATGTTTAGCTGGATAACTATTCTCGAGTATATGTTGATATAATGCACAATACTTCGTATGCATAGCATGGTTCAATTTTCACTTCCACACAATGGTCCTAAGGGACATTCCCCATCGATTGACGAAGTTAGACTTTTGATTTTTCGATTTTGAGAACACTTACGAGCAATTTTAGATTGGGCGGTACACATCAGTATAGACAATTTCAAAATTAGTATGCATAGCCGAAGCAAGCTAAAATGACTAAGGCTCCGTCAGTTCGCTTCAGATCGGGACAAAATTTTACGGTACAACTATACAACACCCCGCAAGTATTATACGTATTATATTACTGGGGTTAGTATTATGTTTAGGATAAGGTACAGTTGGCGGGATATTCTATGGTTATTCCGAGCACACTATTATCACAGAATATTAACCTATCCAGAAGTCCATCTCTATTGTTTTTTGCGTAACTGCTATTCGTCATGATTCGTCACTCAGCAAGTGCCCTAAACAGGGGCAATCACTCCCCTGGAAATACTTAAGATGGCGCCTCATCCGGGTGGTGACTGCCTCTGTTTAGGGCACTTGCTGAGTGACGAATCATACGAATAGCACGCAAAAAACAATGGAGATGGACTTGTGGATAGGTTAGTATTCTGTGCTGTTATTGAATCACTAGTTCATACGATAAGGTTCACTAATTACAGCAGGCAGAAATGACAACACTTGATAGATAATTTCCATGTAGGTGAATTCCAATAGGAGTTTCACTTCAGCGCACATGATGGTATTTGACAAAAGAATTTTAGTATAATGTGATTATTTGCCTATTTGCTTTTGTGTTTTAATGTGATAATGTGGGTGTGGTGTGGATCACGAGTTGATTGTTTGGCCTTGCTCGTTGCTATATAAGCTTTTACCTGACTACAGTTCGCACTTACTCTTGTAACGTAATCGACAATGTCGTCTGGACTGAAAAGTACCATATCACCAAAGAAAAATCTGCCACCGATTATCGGCTACGTGCACAATTTGTCTAAAGTTCTAATTTATCAATAAAATGTTAAAACGGAGCTTTGATTGACTGATTCACCATTTATACTAGCGAACTATTAAACTATCGTGATTTACACCATTTTTGCATATTTACCAGACGATGCCCTATCCACCGACCCGAGGTTAACGCCGAGTCGGCGTCTTGTTTATGTCTATTCCCAGGTTATAGAGTATTCCCCCAAGAAAATGTTTGAAGTTTTGAATGGTTAATGGCCGGCTACAATTCCTGCAATTCACTATAGTTTATCACAATTCTTTCAATCAGTGGTGCATGGCGCCAAAGACGGAAGACAGCTCTAAGTCCCTGCAATGCAATTTCCAGCATTGTGTGTGTGTGTGTGTGTGGGGGGTCAAGATTACACAGAATTCCAAAGATTGTAATGAAGTACATGAAACACATTTTGTTTCATATCTATATATATATGCAGGTATAAGTGTAACTATATACATTGAAAAATAAAAACTTCACCTTTGTTTTTATTGAAAATCTGGCAAATTAGCCATGCCTGTTCTACACCAGAAGGTTGTTAAACTCATGCATTCTGCAAGTTTTCAACACATCCATTAACAACTTGCACCCATTTGTTTATCTTTTTTCGACATATATATTGCATGAACAAAATGATTATCTGTTTTGGATCAAAACTGAACCAACAATATTAATTTTCGCCGAACCAACTTTTAAGATCGATTACACAGAATTGGCCGGGGTGTGTCACCTACCTTTTGACTGAGCTTGTTTGTGGGCCTCTGTTAGTGTAATAATGTAATAGTGTAAGTTAATATATAAAGTTAATAGTAATCTTTAATAGTGTAAATTAATATATAAAGTAATACAGACACCTCTCTAATACAGACACCTCTCTAATACAGACACCTCTCTAATAGTCTAGCACAGACATCTCTCTAATACCAGCAACTTTTTTGATACTGACTGATCGTGAAGTTAAAAATGAATTAAAAAATACAAAATAATGGACACTCCAAAAACAGTTAATATTTTTAATTTGACGTTTCGACTAGCCTGCAGTGATGCAGTCGAAACGTCGAATTAAAAATGTTAACTGTTTTCGAAATGTCCATTGTTTTGTATTTTTTTAAATTACTCTGTGGTAACTGGTGGTAACTGTAAATTCTGGCCAAAAATGAATTATGTTAATACATTAATAGCTTCGGTCTGGTTCCGCCTTATACAGTCAACCTGGTCAGCCAATTGCCTGAACCAAGATCGTTCCACAATGCCGAAATATTTGACAACAAAGTGATCATCCTTTGTGGATCATCAACAGGCTCCTTCAGCGCCAACGATTTTGTGGACACTGTACTGCAATATGATATCACGAACAACACTTTTAATACATTATTACCGTCATTACCAGTGAAAGTTGTTTATGCAGCGACAGCAAAGTGGAGAGATAATGTTTTAATTGTTGGCGGGCAGGGTGAACAGTATCATGACACTAACACAGTTTGGATGTATGATGTATCGAGTGGGGAATCTCAAAAGTTGCGACCAATGAGACACAAGAGGCACGGTTGTGCGGCAGTCGTCGCAGAGATATGTTGGTTGTCACAGGCGGACGAAACCCAACTGCATTAGAGCTTGTTTCGGCAGAATGCTACAACTTTCTGACAATGAAATGGACAGAAGTGCCTCCCATGGAGCAGGCGAGAAATTATCCTTCTGCAGTCGTAAGATGCAGGCCTGTCAACAGAGAGCAAGTTGCCGCTGGACCTGGACCTGGACCAGGACCAGACAAGTAAGAGAGTTAAATGCCGAAATTGAACAGGGACACTTGGAAAGTCGGGCACCTACCTAATATTGGCACATTTCATTTTTAACACCCCCTCCCTGTTTCAGACGTGGTCGTCGCTCTGTTTACAACGGCAAATCGCAGATTTTCACGTCTTTTATACAACGCCTGCATTTCAAGCCGTAACATGTGCAACTTAAAATTCGGTCAGTAGAACTTTTCCCAAACATAAAGCCAATGTTTTCAGCTTCTTATACTGTATTAAATTCATACGAATTATAATATACGACAACTTTTCTTTGCTATCATTTATTTGAAGGAATTTGTTTTGGCCGTCGTCGTCGTGTTGCCGTCCTACATGCTTAAGCTTAAAATTCGGTCAGTAGAACTCTTCCCAAACATAAAGCCAATGTTTTCAGCTTCTTATACTGTATTAAATTCATACGAATTATAATATACGACAAGTTTTCTTTGCTATCATTTATTTGAAGGAATTTGTTTTGGCCGTCGTCGTCGTGTTGCCGTCCTACTAATATTATCCTAATATTATCCCATTGTCCCCGAGCCGACGGCGCGAAGCGCCGTGCGAGGGTACTAATTCCCCCTGGCTATTTACACCCGGGGAAACGAAAGCATTAGCGGAGTCTAAAGTTCATCAAGTATCGCGGGCGTGGGTCACCAACCGTGGGTGGTCATCCTCACTGATCTCAAATATATGGCGGACTGTCATGAATGGATACTGATTGGTCCAATTTAAAATTTGCATTATAACGACTGCATGACGACAGCGAAATAGCAAACATTTCTTGATTTGATGATTGATGAATTTTTTACTCGCATTTTTGCAAGATTTTGTAAATTTCAAGAGTTTTCTCATAAAGAAAGGGCGAAAGAATCGGCTAAAAGAAGGGAGCCGACGTTAACGAAGGTAAGTTTGTTTTAAATATTGATTTTGTAATGTATTTAAAACCCGACGGCCTTTGCGTATACAGGGCCGCCCAGAGGTTGGCGGGGGCCCGGGCCAAATTTTGTTTAGGGGCCCCTATCTAAGAAAATTTTCCCGGAAAAATTTTTTTCCGGATAACAACCTCCCCCCCCCGTCGCCAAAAAATTTTCGGTCAGTGTACCATTTTAGGGTGGCGTAGATTGGTGGCGTAGGCGTGTCATAAAAATGTGATCAGACTTAAGCCATTGGTAAAGGTCTTTTTTTTGTTACTAGTCAGTAACATCTCGTTAACTTCGGCAATGGCGAATAGAGATTCAGGTAAACATTTCTTGATTAATGACGAAGCGTCGGCTCAAATTCAAAGGCAGTAAGCTATCAGTTAAGTTTTGCTCACGATTAAAAATTGTCTGATAATGAATGCCCCCGGAAGTCTTGATCCTCTTGTATGTTAATAAATTCAAAAGTCAGGCAATGCCAACAAATGCAAAGTGCGTCCGTGCGTAGCAGAGCGTGGTAATCTGCCTTAAGATGTCGAAGGCTAGAGTATTTGTGATCGGCGCTAGTGGCAACTGTGGCAAACCCACAGTCAATGCACTTTCAAAAAACTACGGAGAAAAGCTTGATATCGTAGCGGGCGTACGCAAACCCGAAAATGTGCCCGAATTTCAATCCCTACGTGGCGTCACGGTCGTTCGTGCCGAGATGGGCAAACGAGACGAGCTTGTTGGAATCTTCAAAGATGTCGACGTGCTTTTTATCATAGTGCCAAGGTCTCATGCTCGCGCAGAGATAGCCTGTGCGACGGCCGAAGCGGCGAAGCTGGCCGGTGTAAAGCATATCATGACAGTTAGCACGGGCGTCGCCGTCGGTCCGGATAAAATAATCGGTAAACAGTTTCACGATATCGAGAATGCGATATCCAATCTTGGTCCAGATTATACCATCCTTCGCCTGCCCTATTTCATGGAGAATTTTGGTTATTTTAGAGAAACTATACAAGTAAGTATTGACGTATTGAGTATTGCTGCCGCTAAGCACCTCATTAATCTCGCCTGCTACACGTTACGTAAAATCTCACAGCTTATCAACAAGATGTGTTCGCACTGCTTGTTCCCAGTTGTTGACAAGTCTAGAACAAGTTGTTATCATCTTGGAACAAGCCACAAGGTTGACAAGGCCAACAGACTCGCAACAAATTGTTCCAACAAGTCTGACATCGTCTGCACGCAACAAGCTGATCAACAAGTCGATGGCAACAAGCTCGTAGCATTGTAGCAACTTGTTATGCACAGCCTGTATTAGTCTTGTCGGAACAAGTTGTAGCAAGTCGATCTGTTACCGTCATCAACCTTGTGACAAGGTGATAACAACTTGCCAGTGGCGTGCTGGGTACTATTTTTCTGGGGGGGGCAGTCGGCTGGCAACCAATATGCGCCCCTATAATATTACGCTTGATAAACGAGGGCCGAAGGCACGAGCCGAGCGCCACAGGTGCGAGGTTTGTCTAGGGGAGTCCGGGGGCATGCTCCCCAGGAAAATTTTTGAATTTAGAGTCTCTGAAAAAGCCATTCCCTGGACTTTGGGGGAAGATTTGACAGAAATCTGATGGTTAGGAAACGGCATTACAACGTGTCGAAATTTGCAAATTGGTTAGAATTTAGTTGTAGTACTTAAATTGGGCAATGCTAACTACTTCCAGCAATTAATCTAATCCCAATTCTATTCTCTACTGATCTGAATACATTGACAACTTGCAGCTCTTTTATACAATAACACACAGACCCCACGCATATGCTTTTTAAGGTTTTCTTGCTTGTCTGCCAAAAGGGCGCGTTTCAGCATTATATCTCGTTACTTACATTACTCATGATGTTTCTTGCGCAAACAACTAAATTGCGTACACAACTTTACATTATCATAACTTCAACTCTCTAATTTGCGTCGCTCTCGTCATCGTGATTCGTGAAGCATAATAAAGGGCATAATACCAGCAAAAAAGGGCATAATTCCCATGATCGCTTATTCGCTTCGAAACCTGATCAATATTCCGGTAATGAGACATTGCGTGTGATCACTAATCATGTTTCTATATGAACGAGTGATTTCGTGTGAATCGTGAGGTAGCAAATACGGTTGGACAAAACAGTCTGCAACTGATTTAATATACTCATTTTGTCGCCTATGCGCTTAGTCTGTTTATAAGTCTATAAACACATAGATAGATAGATAGATAGATAGATAGATAGATAGATAGATAGATAGATAGATAGACATCTTTCCTTGGCGGAATTAGTAACTATATTTTTTCGAATGCGTTTCTTCCCACCCACTTTCAAAATTCGGCGCGGGATCGGCGCCCCCTTTTCATTTTTGCGCCCCCCAAAAATTGCCAGCTGGGGGGGCCGTGGCCCCCGGGCCCCCCTGCCAGCACGCCACTGCAACTTGCTCCAGACTTGTCACGACAACTGGGAACAAGCAGTGCGAACACATCCTGCTTCGCTTGGAAAAAAACCTTGTTACAACGTGTGTGCAGATATGTAACAACTTGCGCGTTTTTACGCGTGTACTCGTGCTATGTATAGCCGGAAAAAAGTGGATTTGAACTGTTCGATGTCTTAAAATATAGAGTGACAATTTTTTATAGATTTTTATTTTGATGTTTCATTCTTGAAATCAGGGGCGCCGGAGCCACGGAGGCAGCGGGGGCAACTGCCCCCGTTGCCCAAACATTGCGGGGGCAGCACGGGGGCAACATGTTGCCCTTTTTGCCAGAACTGCCCCTCGAAATATGTGCATTATTCACTGAAATTGGAGTTTAGAACTATTTTTAAGCAATGTTTAAAAATGCGGTACAGTCCGTATGTAAACAAAGGATTTGTTTACATTTCGGTATCGAAAATATAGAATTTTATTCGACAACTATTTATATTCTCATGATTCTAGAATATAATAAATTATCAAGACACCGCAATCAAGCTTTGCAAGAATATAAAATGAAATAAAAACCTAAATAAACTGTTTGTATAATAAAAAGAGAACCCCCTTGTGCCCATACGCAGATCGGACTGTACAGCATATCTTTAAGCAATCTTTGCTTAATTTTTAACCAGTTGTAGTAAAATTAATGCTATTTACAGGGGCGTAGGAAGCATCAAAAAGTTAGGGGGGGGGGGACCGTTTCGAGGGGCACTTTTGGAATGAAAATGGCACCTAAAAATGTTTCCCGTAAATGTCGCCGACGGGGAAAGGGGGTGGGGGGAGGAAAAATAAATGCAATCATATTGAAATCAAAGGCCGTTGAGGCCGACTCACAGATGAAATCAAATGAAAGTGACAGAAAGAATTAAAGCAGTTTGTAGTTGTTTTTGCAAACGATCATCGTGTAAATTTTGCCATTTGCCGTGCTCCAGCCCGATTTTCTGTTCTGAAAGCCCCAATTCACAGGCAATTAGAGTGCGCGCCAAGCAGTCATTTCTCATTGTTTAATTAACTGCAAACCCTGAGTATCACTTGACTGCTCCACATTCAGGACTCACAGATGTTGCCGTGCAACACCCGTGAGTTAAAAATGCAATCTGAACAAAAAATTTTCACGAAGGCAAAGGGCACTTTGCCACTGGAAAAAGCGCACTTTTTAGGTTTTCTGAAAACTTGGGGGGCTTGGTCCCTTGCCCCCCCCCCCCCCCCAGATGCTAAATCAAGCAATATACGTCCGTTTACCGATTTTATTTTGCGCTAGTTTAGCACGGTGCAACGAATAAAATTGTTCAAATTAATGTCGAAGTTTGCGACCCATAATAGCCAGAAGTAATCGAGTATCCATACAGTAAAGTTTTAACAAATGTTGCTGCCCAGAAAAATGATGGCTAAAAAGCAAGTGCCCTTTTGAAATGGCTGCCCCCGCCGCTTCACATTGCTTCCGGCGCCCCTGCTTGAAACATTTCTTTAAGAAAGGAATACAACCAACTTGACGTCATATTGACGTCATATGCATCTAATGAGAGTTTCATGTCTTCAAAAGATTTAGCAACCGGGGGGGGGGCTGTTAGCACCTCCAATATTTGTTCTTGAGTATTTTCAGGTAAATTTCTAGGTAGTTGAAGTTGATTTTCAGATAAAGTAAAACAGCAACGACAATTAAGCAAAAGTTAAAAGGAAAAGCAAGCTAAGAATGACAAATTTTATTTGCCTTTCCGAGAGTCTAAATCCTTAAAATTTTCTCGGCGGCAGCATTGGCCCGAACCTCCCTAAAGTAGCAGGTAACGTAAAAACTATAATCTCCAAAGGTCTATTCCAGTGTAGTAAGCTATCGTTGGTAGGCATGCATCTACCTGAAAAATGCATGGAGAAATTCGGCGTTTCGGGCGAAGAACCATAGTAATTGGCGGTCATGGTCGTTGACCAATCAAGGACCGTGAGGCAAAATAAATGGAGTTGTTTTTCTTGATATATGTAAAGCATTTGACTCGGTGAATCACGAGATATTATTGAAGAAGCTTAAAACCCGGTTTGGAATTCACGACATTGAGTTAAAATGGTTCCAATCATACTTAAGGAATAGAAAGCAAGTGTGTTCTGTTAATGATCAAACTTCTTCTGCAAGAACAATAATATGCGGAATTCCGCAAGGATCCATACTTGGTCCATTATTGTTTTTGTTATATATTAATGATATGCCTGATATTTTAGAAAGGACAACCCCATGTCTTTATGCCGACGACACTCAGATATCTTCCTCTTCGCATGATTACGATACATTGATTGACAATTTGAATATGGACCTTTCCAGTATTCATAAATGGCTTGCTAAAAACAAACTAAAATATCATAGGAAAAAAACAAAAGTCATGTTTATTGGATCTACGCATAATCTAAATCATAAAATAGGAAATAGACCCGTTGAGATTAACAAAATCCCAGTCCCACAAACCAATACATTTAAATGTCTAGGTGTAAATCTAGATGAAAAATTAAGTTGGGAGAAACATATTGATTCTGTATGCCATAAGATTAGCGCTGGAATAGGAGCAATTAAAAGAATAAAACCTTATGTTCCACACAAAACCTTACATGATGTCTACAAAACATTAATTCAGCCTCATTTTGATTACTGTTCTCCCCTGTGGGATAACTGTGGTTTGGGACTTCAAGACAAATTGCAAAAATTCCAAAATCGAGCAGCAAGGGTGATTACCGGAGCTGACTACGATGTAAGATCGTCTGAAGTCCTAAACAAATTAGGCTGGGAAACCCTGGCTAGGAGACGAGAACAAAACAAGCTAGTATTGATGTATAAAGTCTTGGGGAACCACACTGCGCCAAACCTTAAAGATCTTTTTCTCGGAGAAATGCATCGCAGAATATTTATGATTTACGCAATAGCGAAACTGATCTCTCGTTAAAAAAACCGAAAACGGAATTTCTAAAGAAAACATTTGGATACAGTGGAGCAATTCTATGGAATAGTCTCCCGCAAGATGTCAAGGCGGCTGAGTCAATTACGTCATTTAAAACAATGGCGAAATTGCATTTAAGCAGATGATAAGCTAATTTCTCCAGGACCAAATGATGGGAGGACAATATAGATTGTGGGCGGGAGGGGGGTTAGTTTTGCGTGAGGGTGGGTGGGTACTTGTTTAGGGGGTGGAGGTTTGGGAGGAAGATGATAAAATTTTAGGGTGGGATTCTTACATACTTTGTTTTATATATAATTAACATTTAGCTCTTTGTGTGTATACGCCCTTCGTGGAAACCAGTTGTAAATAATTGTCGAAGTTAGCGTATTGAAATAAAGTTTTACATACATACATACATACATACATCCCCGCAATGACGTCACATGAATTGAAAATTTTAGTGTCCAAATTTGAAATTTGCCGTAGCCTATAGAACGTGTGGTCGAAGTGCAAATTTTGCCGAGATTTAGTGAGATTAATATACAGTCCACTCATATCAATCCTCATCAATGAGCAACTCTTGTTCTCATTTCACGATAAAAATGGCAGCCACAAATTGAAAGCTAAGATTAGAATGTACACGCTGAATATTAATAAGGAGGAAAGGTCCTAACTTATTTCGATATATAATCGACAAAGTTTTTGATTTGTTGGTAGAATTTCGAGATTATAAGATGGTTTGAGGCGCAAGAAAAATATGGGTGACTTAAGCATAATTAGAACCATTTTAACTTACAATTCGAGCCTTATTTCGCTACAAATAAGTCAAGATAAAACAGAACAAAACGCGTGGGAAAACATTTGACTGAGCCCACAATGCTATGCAATGAATACTCAGTGGTATGTCAATTTTCTGTGCAATTTCTGGTCGTGGACGGGTGGGGGTCCTTGTCGTTCCTTGTCGCCTCCAATTTGGGTTTTCGACAACATCCAACACCACGTTGGCAAAACAAATTTTAGTAATATTGACGCGTGCGCAGACATTTTTCCGCGGTGTCTATACTGAGCGGTCAATAATAAAATGGGTAAAGTGCGTATGCACGGGCGTCAACCGTGAAGTTCCAAAGTTCAATTTATTAAACTTTTTTATTAAACATTTACGGCGTTCCATTTATCTAATTTTGGTTTAAAAGTTTATCTAGTTTTGGTTTTACTCCAATAATCGGTGAGTTATTCATACTTTCATACTTATATACCATATAACAAAACACTTATTTACTGAGACCTCGGGAAAGCAGTGTGTTTTGTGGCCCCTCGACCGCCGTTGTTACACTCGGCTTCGCCTCGGGAAACAACGACAGTTTCGGGTCCACAAAACACACTGTTTCCCTCGCCGGTCTCAGTAAATAAGTGATAAATTTTCACTGAGCCGAAGGCGAAGTAAATATAGGCTCGTAATCACCAAGCCCGAGGCGAGTCAGGCGACTAATTGTTTTAGTATAATTTCAGTATTGAAAAAGTTTTATTTATTAATACAACTAATACACGTGTTAATTTTATGAATATAATTTGCATAAATAATTTGCTTCCATCTGATTTTCAGACATTTTTTTGGGAAAAGCAATAGTTACTGCTCAGAGCCACTAGTAACTATTGCCTCATAGTAACCGCTGAGGGAGCCAATCAGAATGCTCAAAGGCCATTTTTTCAATAATGAGATTATACTAATTATTATTATTACAGAAATCGTCAGTGTTTTATGACGCAATAGACCCCAGCAAACGTTTCCCTGTCATCTGCGTGGAGGATGTCGCGGCAGTTGCATCGGTAATAATGTCCTCTCCTGAAAAGCACGCGGGCAAGACGTACAACATGGTCAGCGACAGATGCTGCTACAACGACATGGTAAAAACGTTTCGCAAAGTTATTGGGAAAGATATCAAGTACATCCAGCAATCGTACGAAGAAGTCAGGGCGGCGATGTTCCAGCTGGGTTTGCCCGAGTGGAATGTGAATGGTGGTTTGGAGTTTACGAAAGAAGCAAATGCAGGCGAGCACGAAAAAGGCGATGATGACGATATCAAGGCCATCACGGGCGAACAGCCAACAAATATCGAAGCATGGTTCCAACGACATGCTAGCATGTTTAAGTAAATACAAAGTTTGTGGTTTGAGCGCAGCTATCCAGGAGTCTCGATCATCTGCGTCAGATCTGCATGCTCTTTGTTAACGTATATAAAACTCAATTTGTGTTCATATGAGAAACGAGGCAGCCCAGCTTGGCGAGATCTCACTTTGCGCTAGGTGCCATCTCAGTCAAGCAGGGCACTTTTTAAGAAATTACAATTACAGGGGCTAAGTCTCAATTAAGGTCTTTTCTTTGCACAGTTAGGGCCGCAGCTAGACCGATATTAGAGAGTTTGGCAAATACAAGGGAAACGGCAACGGCAATATGGTCATCAACAATAGCATTGATCCTCAAAGACAAAGGCGAATGTAAATTACATGGTCTTAAGCGTTGTGCAATGCCGTAGTTGTTGAACCTAGTACGTGATTTGCATCATTTTCACGGTGCATGACTACGGCAACAGTTAATTCGTTCGATATTACTTGAGGTGTTTTATTTGAATTCACGGACTATTTTTACTTAAGGATACGTTTGAAAGAAACAGGAATACTGAAAGAGGCAAATTGAGTGTAGTAACGTATACTTTGGCTCAAATACAATAATATAAGCAATTATATTTTCCCCGTTGCCGTTGTCGTTGCCGTTCTAAGTTGCCAAACTCTCTAATTGGGGGGGGCATCATCATGTATTAGTGTTCTGCCCGACGGATTTCTTTTGAAAGCGATTGTTGTACGGTATGTGAACATGAATATATGAATATACACCCTCCCCCCCAATATCGCATCTAGCTACGTCCCTGCACACAATAACGCGTACATAAAAAGACCATGCTGTTCATGCTGTGATGGCTTTCATAAGATGAAATGTCGAGAATGTGAGAGGATATGAGAAAGCAGGCAGATGAAGCTTTTTCAACATGCAAGGATGACTCTTCACTAATGATCGAAAGGGCCCAGCTTATCTGAAAACATTGCTTCACTAACTAGTAGCACTACTGGGGCAAGCAAAGGGCCTACTGGGGTAAATGCCCCAGTTGTTATACATAGTTAAAAATTGCCCTGCAATCAAGTGGAATAAAACTTTCCATATGAAGGTTTTATTCCACCTGACCAGGATGGACATTTTTTGCTGATTTTGATCTATAATATAGTATTGAACGGCATCGTTGGAAATTAATACAAACAAAAAATAAACGTTAATAGACCTAAACAGACACTATTAAAATCCTAATACAAGATGCAGTTTGTTTAATTATAACAAAAATATTTCGAAGACCGCCATGTTTACATAATGTCGTCCCAGATATGAACACAGTAATTATGCGGCCAGTGTTATTAAAGGCCGACATTTTACGATTTTCACTGATTTTTTCACTTACCTGGTTCAAGTTTTTCAAATATTTAGAAGGGCTATATCATTTTGAGTTACTTGGTCTACATACTTTTAAAAATTCCTTTCATTGGCTGTTTTATAACTTTCAAAAACTGAAAAATCGCGTCACGTTGTCGAATCGCGTCCGGTGTGTCTCGAACTTAGCCGACAAGCAACCTCGTACCCAGGGCCTGCCCGCCCGATTTTCTAATATGGCCGCCAAAGGCCCTGGGTACGAGGTTGGCCGACAAGTAGAAGCGACTCGAATAAGATGATGCTCGCTGTAATTTTATTTACTGATGATTTCTGTATCCTCAATCTCTGCTGCTACGACACTATGAACAAGGGCGGCGCTAGAGGGGGTGTAGGGTAACACTCCCAAATTGTTGCATTCATTTGGATATGGAACGAATTATCGAATTCCATTGAATTTAAATACGAAACTTAATACTTCTTAGATATCTTAAAAATGTGCTCTATCGAGTCGTAGTGGGTAGCTAGCTATTCAAAACAGCCCAACAGCCGAACAGCGCATACTGAAATGCAGACGAGGTGGTTTTTGACCGCGCAAACAGCCGTTGTGGGTAGTTAGGATCAGTTTCATGGTTGAGGTAGTCATTTGAAATCGTCCCCGGAACGGAGGATATAGAATTTCGGAGACTCTACTTCAAATTTTTTCGGTGGAGCATGCCCTTGGACCGCCTAGAAATCAGTGTAGTTAAAACCAGTGAGGTATTGTCGACAGATCTGACAGTCTTTATTGTGAAAGTGGAGACTTAATCTAATCTGCGTATGTGCAATGTTAACTACCTCTTGCGCGTATGACGAGTTTACATGAAGTATTGTAGTGGCGAGAGAAGGGCGAAGGGGCTGATGGGAAGAGTGCACCTGAATACTTCATGTATTATGATTTAGTAAATACAGACCAAGCTAATGACTCGACAAGACTATACCCCCCCCCCCGCCATTGAAGGAGGCGTAGCGCCGCCCCTGACTATGAATAATGACACGTGCGAATATTTATATTGAAATAAGATCCATTTTTGCGGTTTTCCTATTGTGAATCGAATTTTGAGCCCATGAGTCCACAAATCTAGTCCAGATTTTGTACTATGCCTCATATTACCTATACCTCCCGCAAACTTAGGCACGCTTTGTAAACAAATTAAAGCAATTCACCTTGGCTTTTCCAAGATTTCGTGCCAGCTTACAGCGGGAGAATTTCCTTTTCAAAACATATGTCATGTCACCTTGTCCTTGGCACAGTTCAATGTAGGTCACAAATCACTAATCATTTGATTGGAAAAATAATTTAAATTCTACTTTTGCTGCTGCATTCTTGTATTCTTATTACGTACTGGATTCTGATTTGTCGAGGGGGTTACATTTGAAATGTCACTTGTTGATATCTGGAGAGCCAACTGTTATTACAACTAAACTAACTTTATTTATAATAGATATAGGTCCTCCAGTAAGGGTCATCTGTTATTGATTCAGTTTTACTACAGGAGGAACCCTAATTAAACTAACTTTATTTATACTGCATGTATAGCTCGATCAGTTCTAAACTGTTCTTCCTAGAAGTCCAGTAAGGATCATCTCTTATTGATCCAGTGTTTCTACAAGAGGAAACCTAAATTAAACTAACCTTATTTATACTGGACTAACCTTATTTATACTGGATAGATCTATCAGTTCTAACCTGTAATCCAGTTTTACTACAGGAGGAAACCTAATGAAACTAAACTAGCTTTATACTGTATAGCTGTATCAGTTCTAAACTATTCTTCCTAGAGGTCCAGTAAGAAGTAGTAAGAGTTCTTTCTTATCGATCCAGTTTTACCACAAAAGGAAACCTGAGCTATATTAACTTTATTTATACTAGCTCCATCAGTTCTAAACTGTTTTCCCTAGAGATTCAGTAAGAGTAATTTCTTATTGATAGAATATGTTACTGCAGGAGGAAAGCTAAACTATACTAACTTTATTTATACTGGATAACTATATATCAGTTCTGAACTGTTCTCCCTAAGTAAATGGCTAATGAGGATAATCTCTTCCGCAAAGTATTCAGCTTTGGCTACATACAGCCTCGTTTTCGTAATTGAGCTATTGGGTTTAGAGCCTTTATCTTGTTACATGCATGTGTGTTAATGTGACGAGACGTTTAGAAAATTATACAGTTATATAAGTACATAGCCACTTAAGGTAAATGGCTCTATAGCCAATATTTATTGGCAATTTATTGAATACAAATCTAAAACAGAAAACCATTAAAAATTTATTGTGTCTTAAATACAACAATGTTACGTTAGAATAGGATAAGACAGGATAGTTTAGGATCGAGTTGTATGTCGTGATCAAAAACATCCCGATATTACGGGGTGTCTCGAAAAAATGCAATAGCCAATTAGCATGCATGTTCCAGATTATTACACAGCTAATTATTAATGGGAATCTAAGAATTGAATCCATATAAGAGATGAATTTTGACACCAAAATTGTTAATTAAAATTGGTCTAGTAGAACAAATATTATGTTATGGCTGGGCCCTACTTTGTTATTTTACTCTGTCTAACGCCGGACGATTTTACTCGTCAGGGGGAGAGTGCTTCCTGCACTCAATGGGTTAATCAGCCTATACGCCCATGCAACCTGTTAACCCTTGAGTGGCAATACACCGATATGAGCCCTACTTTGTTATTTACTCTGTCTAATGCCAAACGATTTTACTCGTCCAGGGGAAAACGCTGCCACTCAATCGGTTAAAGTCACAGAGGTCACCAAGCTTATGTAAAGGGTCACCGATAAAACATATAATACTATTGTTTGTGGAAACACCACGTAAATTGTATTACTGCAGTAATTAATTTACGTGGTCTTTCCACAAACAATTATATGATTTCATCTATAAAATTCTGAATGGCTACACCGCACCCAGTCTTAAAGAAGCATTTCAATTTAATAATGAAAGACATAATACATACAATCTTAGAAATAGGGATACTGATTTAGCACCACCTATTCCAAAAAAAAAGAATTCGGCAAGAGGTGCTTCAGTTATAATGGTGCCTTGCATTGGAATATTCTTCCCCATGAGGCAAAAATTGCCGAATCCTTAAGCTCTTTCAAATCATACTAAAACAAAGAATGCGTGGGTTGAAATTTGCTTGTGTATAATCGTGCAGCTAAAATCACCTATTTTTTTGTTTTATTTTTGTATTTCTTGTAAATAGTTAATTTCTTGTAAATAGGTAGTTTCACGCCCTTCATGGAAACCAGCCTTCCAACGGTTGTTGAGACCAGCGTGGTTTAAATAAAGTTTTGTATGTATGTATGTATATATATATGATACATTATTCCAACGTAGAAGGCTTTTGTAGACAGAAACCCCGAGGTCCCAGATAAAGGCCTGAAGTAAAATATGAATAGAAACCACGGTTAAATATTCTCAAACCTCAATGAGATAAATCTAGGGATTAAGGTCACAGATGATAGTGACGCCTCTTATATGGAAACAAACAATATTATCAACTGGGCGGAAACAAATCGCATGAAACTTAACTATAAAAAAAACGTGGGAGATGGTCATTCGCGGCAACATAACCCGGCCACTTCCTGCGCCTCTGCCTATGATTGTTCGTAAAAGTTGGTTGAAGATACTTGGTGTAACGTTTCAAAAGAATCCTTCCATGTGGGACATGCATCTAGATGAATTAATGAGTAAAGCCTGTAGCAGAATGTACATTATTCGGATTTGCAAATACTACGGGTTTTCTAGGAAAGAGCTGGATCTTCTGTTCCATAGTCTTATTTTATCAATATCAGTTTTTGGTATAGAGGTCTGGGGATGTGCGTCGTATTCTAAGTATCTTAGTCAAGTAGATAAACTTTTAAAACGTGCATATAAGTATGGATATCTTATGTATCAGGTATCGATTGTTGATATATTAAACAATAAAGACAGAGATTTATGGGAGAAAATAACTACGGATCCCAACCATGCCCTGCAAGTTTTGCTGCCTCCTAGTCGTCAATTAGGCCCCGTTTACATGAGACCGGGACGAAGTCAAACCGGAATGAAAATTGAAATTGTCAACATGTTTACATGAGACCGGTACGAGGATCACAAAATCTTCAATTTATTCCCCTTGCCAGGCAATTTTCTTTTTCAGGGGGCTTTTGCTAGCATGTGTTGTTCCAATGTCAAGATTACAGCCGAGACCTGTCTGAAATGTATTTGTATTTACATTCACCCCGGTCTGAATCCATGCCGGTCTGAAGTCAGTCGGTTCGGTCCAGAAGGCGGAATGACTTGAGACCGGTCTGAGTTATTTTCGTCCCGGTCTCATGTAAACATCTATTATAGATAATACTGTGACCGAAACGAGATGGTCCCGGTTTGACTTCGTTCCGGTCTCATGTAAACGGGGCCTTAGAATTACGCAATCGCAAACATGAGTATGAACTACCGAGAGTTCGAACAGGAAGGTTTAAAAGAGTGTTCGTATTAAGATGTCTTTTTAACTTCATATGATATTTTTTAATTTAGAAATTTACTTCTTAGGAACCACATTAAACATTATAATAATGGTATTTTAGCTCTATTAATGAATAATATCAATACTAATACAGTAATTAGTATAAAAATTATTGATAAGTAAGTGCAAATTGTAAGCCCGCACGTTTGTTGTGAGGTGTTGCTTTTAATATTTTAATAAAGATTTATACATACATACTCCAAAAGTCTCGTACACCGCCGTAAAAGTTCGAAACGTCCAATCTGTGTAAAAGTCACAAGAATCCACGAATATCAATGCTTGCTATTTAAAAAAAAATTAAA